CTCTCTCTCTCTCTCTCTCTCTCTCTCTCTCTCTCTCTCTCTCTCTCTTCCTTTTTTCCTTCCCCCCTTTTCCTTTCCCCTCCATAACCCACTAAATAAATATTCACTTTCTCAGGAACCCACTAGATAAATACCTACTTTCTCAGGAGGTGGAGACAGTAGAAGCAGGAGTTCAAAGCTAGCCTAAGATTCTGTCTTTAAGAAAAAAATGAAGTGAAACAAACATTTATTGGGGAATAGCAGCAGCCATAACAGACTGTATTACCTCAAACCATAGCCAAAACAAACTCTAGAATGCAGCTGTTCAAATTCTTTATTTAAATGATACTCCATCATTATAGTACCTTCACCAGTGAGCTGACACCAACTCTTTGGTCCCTACTAACAATGAAAGTTTGCATCTAAGTAGACTTTTGTGAATTTCCCACAGCCACCCCGACCGACTCTATCTCCATTTTCAAAACTTCTTACTAACATTTCAAAACTTCTGGGGGTTTAGTTTTTGCTTTTTTGAAATGGGATCTTGTTGTGCTGTCTATATTAATCTTAAATGCCTACTCACAAGTAAGTCTTTTTATCTCTGTGTGCCAAATAGCTGGAATTGTTCCGTTTTTACAAATTAAAAAAAATTCTCAATGCCTCAACTTCCATTTGCTTCACTTTGGCTTGCATGTTCCCATTATAAAACTCTGCTATTCCCCAATAAATGTTTGTTTCACTTCCAGAGGCCAGAAGAGGGTGCTGGATCCCCTTAATCTGGAGTACATTATTTATTGTTTGTAGAATTGCAGATTACTTTTAGATCTATCCAGTTGGTATTGTAATGTTTTTATTCTTTGATTTTCAGATTTGGTAGACATATGCCTTTTTTAAATTTTGGGTTTTTTGGGACAGGGTCTCACCATGTAACTTCTCATCCTGGAACTCATTATGTAGATCAGGCTGGCCTTAAACTAAGAGCCACCTGCTTGAGAGCCACTGCACCAAGTCTGGAATGAAAGGTGTGCTTTACTACATCTGGTCAGTAGTTTGGAGGCAGAGGGAGGTAAATCTCTTTATGTTCAAAGCTAGCCTGTTTTTATTTTTGTTTTCAAGACAAGGTTTCTCTGTGTAGTTCTGGCTATCTTAGAACTCTGTAGATCAGCCTGCCTTGAAATCAGAGATCCCCTGCCTCAGTCTCCTTAGGCCTGAAATTAAAGGTATGCGCCTCCACACCTCAACTTGGCCTGTTCTATATAGGGAGTTATAAGTTAGGCTAGTTAAGAGTGTACGCCTATCTCCAAAAACAAACAAACAATAAAAAAAAAAACCCATAAAAATAATGAATGGGCCCGACGGTGGTGGCACACGCCTTTGATCCCAGCACTCGGAGGTAGTGGCAGGCAGATCTCTGTGAGTTCGAGGCTATCCTGGTCTACAAGAGCTAGTTCCAGGACAGGCTCCAAAGCTATAGAGAAACCATGTCTCGAAAAAACAAACAAAAATAATGAATAAATAAACGAAGCAATTCTTTGGCGCATGTGTGTGTGTATGTAGAATTTTACCATTTCTTAAAGTGAAAAGCAAATTTGCACACTATCAAAAAAGTACTTCACAGGTCAATAATAAATCTATAGTAAAATTTAAAAAAGAAGTTTTTCAGTATTCTTTATTATTTTTTCTCTTCTAGAGTATTCCAGACAGAGTCTCAAATGAAAACAGAGAGAAATTCAGAAATTACAGGTAAATATGTAATTGCAGTCTTTGGTAATCTGTTTTCTTTACAATTTTTCTGTGGTTATGTACTCATAGCTTCTCTTCTATCTGTGTGCACACACTCGTGTGTGTGTGTGTGTGTGTGTGTGTGTGTGTATGTGTGTGTGAGAGAGAGAGACATACATGCATCATAAGATGGGTGGAGGTCAAAAACCAGTCGAGAGTCTGTTCTTTTTCTACCACGTGGTCTCCTGGGGTTGAATTTGGGTCCTACTTGGCAACAAATGATTTCACCTACTGAGTCATTTTGCTAGCCTTCTGTTACTATTTAAATAATGTATCCCTAGGGATACAGGAATAGCTTTGTTGGTAAAGATGATTGCCATACCTGCATAAGGACTTCTGGCGTAGACTTAGATGCTCACACATGTGCATGTATATTTGTACACACCCAAATGAACATATATATAAACAGGTAGACAAAGTATATTCTCAACCAAATGTGGGGACTCACATCTGTAATCCCAGCATTCCTAAGCTGAGGCAGGATAACAAGTTCTATACCATCCTGAGCTATATAGCAAGTATATAGCAAGTTGACCCCTCATTGAACGGACCCCTCACTAAAACAAAAAAAGCGGAAAAAAAAAAAAGAAATGAAGTATACCTTTATTCAGGGAGACAGAAAGGTTAAATAGTACTTTCTTTTTTTCGTCCCTTTTGTTTTTTCCCTTGAGACATGATTTCTCTGTGTATCCCTGGCTGTTCTGAAACTCACTCTGTAGACTAGGCTGGCCTTGAACTCACAGAGATCCACCTTCCTCTGCCTTCCAAATGCTGGGATTAAAGACATGTGCTACCACCGCCTGGCTAGTAAGTCCTTTCTAGAATTTTGCTGTTAACATCTCTATATAACTTTTCTAATACTTAATCAAGCATTTCTGAACAACTTTACATTTTTTATTTATTTTTAGAGACAGAAACCAAAAAAATTGTCCTGAATCTACAGTAAGTAAAGGGGCATACACTAATTATGTTTAAGTGGTTGTTTATTAAATGAAAAACACTAAATATTTTTATTTTAGCATCCTTCCACTTAGCTTTAATTCAAAATACAAACTAGAATTTAGTATATGTACTGCTATATGTGAAAAATAAGTGTACAGTATAGTTTTAGTAGTGATGACAAACTCCATTTTTATATATAAATTCTTGAATTCATCACTTAGTATAACTTTCATGTGTGGGAGCTTATTTCATCAATCTACTTGTAAATGTTTTAAATGATGACTATGTAAGATTATTCGTTAAAACTTTTATTATAATAGCAAAAGATGTGAAAGAACATGAAGATGGCATAAAGATCCTTTATGATGGCAAAAAGGATATGATTAAATAAATTACACATTTTACATGTAATTGCTCAGCTAGAACAGGTACATATGTGTTTGTATTTACTTGTATGTGTATACATTCAATGCACATGTTTATACACACATCATGAAGTACCTCTGAAAATAACTTTGTGAACAAAGATGAGATCCTTCACAGAAGATGCATATTTGTATTTATTTTATTATCTTTGATTTTTCTTGTTTGTTTCTTTGTTTTTATTTTATGTATATGAGAGTTTTGCCTGCATGTATGTGTACTGTGTGGATGCAGTGCTCACAGAGGCCAGAAGAGGACATCAGATCCCCTGGAACTGGAGTTGTAGACAATTATAATCTGCCATGTGGGTGCTGGGAATCACACTCCGGTCCTCTGGAAGGTCCTCTTAACTACTAAGCTGTCTCTCTACCCCACCTATTAAGATTCTAAAATTAAAATTGTTTGAAGTAAATTGAATTAGTAATAGCTATGGTTTTGAAATAGTGAAGAAGAAAAAAAGTGAAAAGCAAATTTTTCCCCCCTTTGGATGATTCCACAGTGAGTTATTTTGAGTGTTCCTGCAGAAGTGAATTTTGCATGCTGATTTTTAGCTTTTATGAAAAACAACATAAATTAGATTATTTAATAGTATATAGTCAGCTTTTTACTGTAGATACTTGTGTTCTTTTTTCTTTAATTTTTTTTAAGTGTAAAGGTTTTAGAAAATGAATTGATTTACGGGTCTTTCAAATGAAGAAAGGAAACATGCTTTTGGGGGCTGGAGAGATGGCTCAGCTGTTAAGAGCACTGGCTGCTCTTCCAGAGGACCTGAGTTCAATTCCCAGCAATGACATGGGGCTGACAACCATCTATAATAGGATCTGATGCCCTCTTCTGGTATGCAGGTGTACATGCATGCAGAGCATTCGTACCTAAAATATAAATAAACAAAATTAAAAATGTATAAAGAAAAGAAAGCATGCCTTTACTCTTAGCACCCAAGAGGCAGAGCAGGTGGATCTCTGAGTTTAAGGCCAACATGTTCTACATTGTAAGTTCCAGGACATAGATCAAAGCATGTTTTTACGGTGTTCTTAGTTTAACACATTATTAAGACCATTCAAGTAAGGGTGTATAATTTTCTGCTAGTTAGCTGATGAAAACCTTTTTATCTTCCTTAATCTTTTTGTTTTGTTTGGTTTGGTTTTTGTTTTTGTTTTAAGAGAGGATCTCACTGTGTATAGCTCTGTCCTGGAACTCACTACGTAGACTAGTCTGGGCCTTGAACCTGCTTGCCTCTTACTCCCACATGCTGTGATTAAACGCATATACCACTATTCCTAGCTATTTTCCTTACTCCTTCAACTGTGTGATTCTTCATAATTTCTTGGGATATAATTCATAATTTTTTTTTTAGGAATAAGAATTCAGATGATAATTATTGTGCAATTACTGGTGAGTATAACCAAAATACTTCTCTTAATCATATACCTTTTGTTTCATTTAGATTCTTTGATGTAGGTAAAACATCCATACACATAAATTAATCTTAAAAGAATTAGTAAGTAGATGTGGTGTACACTTGTAATCCTAGTCCCTGGAGGTGGAGGCTGGAGGGTCAGAACTTCAAGGTCATCCATGGTTACCTAGCAAATTCAAGTCCAGCTTGGGATAGATGAGCCAAAATAGAAAAAGAAAAAATGCCAGGTGTGGTGGCACACACCTTTAATTCTAGAATTTGAGAGGCAGAGGTAGTTGGATCTCTATGAGTTTGAAGCCAATCTGGTCTACAGAGTGAGTTGCAGACCAGTCAAGGGTACAAAGACGCTCTTAAAAAACCAAAATGGTATAAAAAAATAAAATTATTAGCACAGGTAAAATAAATTTATTTCCAAAATAAATTCCAAAATAATAATCACTGTTTTCTGTCATTAGAAAAAGGCTCTTTAGCCGGGCTGTGGTGGCGCATGCCTTTAATCCCAGCACTCGGGAGGCAGAGGCAGGCCTGGCTGATCTCTGTGAGTTCGAGACCAGCCTGGTCTACAAGAGCTAGTTCCAGGACAGGCTCCAAAACCACAGAGAAACCCTGTCTCGAAAAACCAAAAAAAAAAGAAAAAAAAAGAAAAAGGCTCTTTAAGACTACAGTGTAACTCAGGAATGGATTGCTTGCTTGCCGTGAGTGTGTTCCTGGGTTTCATATCCTGCATTGGAAAAGGAGGATTTGGGGAAGAAAATATGAGTTCAAAATCTTAAAGATGTTTAATTCATAGGTCCTTATGAAGAACTTACTAACTAGTTTTCTTAGTAAGGTCTCTATTGCTGTTTTAAGCACCATGACCAAAACCAATTTGGCAAGGAATGGGTTTATTTTTGTTTACAGTTGTAGTCCATTATGATAGGAAGTCAGGGCAGGAATTCAAGACAGGAAGAATAGGGACACAGGAACTGAAGCAGAGATCATGGAGGACTGTTGCTTACTTGTTTGCTCTTGGCTTGCTCAGCCTGCTTTCTTATACAAAGCAGGAGCACCTGGTGAGGAATGCTATCTCTTACAGTGAGCTGGGCCTTCCCACAGGAATTATTAGTAAGAGAATGCCTTGCATTTTTTCAAATGAGATTCCTCTTCACAGAAAACTCTAACTTGTGTCAAGTTGACAACCAAGTAACCAGGCCACTAATAAATACATGTAACTGATGAAGGTCCTAAAAAAGAAAACCAGACTCCTGGCATTATGTTTTTCTTGCTATAATTTTTTTCTGTTTGCTCCGTAGGTATGAACACATTACTTTGTGCTCCTATTCAGACCCAGGTGCAACAAAAGGAGGTATGAGATCATGCAAATGTCTTCATAATTTAATCTCCTAAAATTAAATAACAGAAAATTTTATGGTAATCTCTAATTTTGAGATAATTTACTAAAGTAAGTTATAGCCTATCAAAACTTTCTGTATTTTCAACTAATTGATAACAGTTAATCTATAATTTTGAGATAATTTACTAAAGTAAAATCATGGCCTATCAAAACTTTCTATATTTTCAACTAATTGATAACAATTAGATCCAATTTGAATAATACCAAGTCTTCTCAAACTTTAATGAGCACATAAAATATCTCAGAATTCTATTAAAATATATATTTTTTTAAATTGAAGTTGTAGCTCAGTGGTAACTTGTCTAGCATTATACACATAGAAAATGTGTGCATGGGGCTGGAGAGATGGCTCAGTGGTTAAGAGCAGTGCCTGCTCTTCCAAAGGTCCTGAGTTCAATTCCTGGCAACCACATGGTGGCTCACAACCATCTGTAATGAGATCTGGTGCCCTCTTCTGGCCTGCAGGCATACACGCAGACAGAATATTGTATACATAATAAGTAAATAAAGATTAAAAAAAGAGAGAAGCCGGGCGGTGGTGGCACATGCCTTTAATCCCAGCACTCGGGAGGCAGAGGCAGACGGATCTCTGTGAGTTCGAGGCCAGCCTGGTCTAGAAAAGCTAGTTCCAGGACAGGAACCAAAAGNAGAGAGAGAGAAAATGTGTGTGTGTGTATTGTGTGCAAGTAGACAGACAAATTTGTTTAAGGTTGAAAAGAGTAAACTCTTCAGAGATTTTATTTCTCCTTTCTTAAATATTTATTTTGTTACAATGTCTGTGAATGTTTTCTTTCATGTATGTTTGTGCACCATGTGCACATCTGATGCCCAGAGAAGCCAGAAGAGGGCACCTGGTCCTCTGGAACTGGAATTAGAGACAGTTGCTAGCTACTGTTGCAGGTGCTGGTGTTATGCCCAAATCTGTGGTGCTGGCCATATCCTGGCATAGCTGGTCTCTTTGCTCCTGTTTGGTGTTTGTGGCATGGAAATGTCTGGTATCTCTTACATCTGGTTAAGGTATTTGCAGAACAGAGGACAAAGTTAAATTAAGGGATAAAAAAATTTAGGACCAGGGAATTGAGGCGGATGTATCTGACCTGTTTAAAGTGGATCCTTCAATTCGGCTCCTTGGAACTCACAAGAATTCTTTGGGTTTGTGAAAACAGAAGTTTTAGACATATGTCAGAATGACTGTAACAGCTATTTTTGCATAATGAAAAAGTATTTTTAAGACTATGAAAGGCATCATGAGAGAGAAATTTGATCTGAAATTTGTTTGGTGAGGTTGTCCTTTTAAATTGACAAAACCTCTCAGCTGTCAAAGTGCATCAGAGATTTTTTTTTTAAGCATTTTTTTTAAGATTTATTTATTTATTATGTGTACAACATTCTGCCTCGATGTGTGCCCGCACGCCAGAGCAGGGCACCAGATCTCAGTACAGATGGTTGTGAGCCACCATGTGGTTGCTGGGAATCGAACTCAGGACCTCTGGAAGAGCAGCCAGTGCTCTTAACCTCTGAGCCATCTCTCCAGCCCCTGCATCAGAGATCTTTGAGAAGGATAAATTTAATTTGTTTGGTGAGGTTGTCCCTTTAAACTGACAAAACTGAAAGTAATAATAAATTACAAAAGACCTTATATTTCATCTCATTTTTCTATTTTTCTTTTATTATAGCTTTCAGTTATAGACTACAACCATGACAAGAAACATGCAAATGACCAGACAGTCATTTTTTCAGATGAAAACCAAATGGACCTGACAGCAAGTCACACTGTGATGATTACCAAAGGGCTTTCAAATTATACCAAAAGTGACAACTCCACAAAGATAGATACCACATCCTTTCTGGAGAATTTAAAGAATCGTGCTGAGGAATCAAGAATTAAAAAGAAATTAGACTGCCCCATAATTTCCATAAGTCAAAATACTTTCCCAGAAAAAATAAATTCTGACAACTTCATAAAAAGATTAAAAACAGGAAAATATAGTACCTCTTTTGATAAGGAAAATTCTGAGATACCTATTTATTCCAAAGAATCAAACAGTGTCTCTTCTACACATCAAATGCATGCATCTCTTAATGTTGATAAAAACAGTAGTAATAGGACTAGAATCTTTAGCGAACAAGATGATGGGATGGATTTGACCCAGTGTCATACAGCCTATATTCAGACTTCGATTCCTCCATCCGGGCAGGACAACTTAGGAGGATTTAAACATGATACTGTAATTTATGGCAATGAGTGTATGGAACTGACAGCTAACTATACAACATGGATTTTGCCATCAGAAAATAATTTATCTGAAACAGAAATGAAAACTCAAAATGTCATGATGAATTTTACAACAGTTGATGAAACTAAAGCTTCAGAGAAGAAAACAGTTCTTAAGGATAAGCTAAATGCTGCTTTTCAAGTCTCTTTTCTAAACCCTGAAAATAAAATTCATATTACCAAAAGTCATAATATGGAGCCAGAAACTCATACAGTCTCACAGACCAATCAAGGTGCCAGCACATTCGATAAAACTTCAAAATCTATATGTTCTAGTCCAACTATACAAGGTTATAAGACAATTTTTTATTCTAGTAGCAATGATGCAATGGAACTGACTAAGTGTCTATTAAGTACGAAGGAGGAAAAAAGTTTGCTGAAGCCTGATGGTAATTATTCTAAAGTATGTGCCAGTCCAGTTGCTGGCCCACTCATAGAGAAAACTACTTATTCAGAAGAGGATAACATGGAAATTACCAAGAGTCACACAATTGTAATAGATAATGAGATGTTCACACAAGATCAAGAAAACATTAAAAAAAAAATTACAGATATACCAGTATTTGAAAAAGAAATGATTCCCCAAAATCATATAACTACATCAGAAGATGAGAAAATGAATGTAAATTATATTACAGTTCCTCAAGTATTTAAGGAAGGATTACAAGAGAGCCTAACAAATAGACTATCTGACAGAAGGATTGAACTCTTAGCAGGTGAAGATATGGATTTGTCTGAAAGTTATACAAGTCAGTTAAGAAGTCAATTTATTCCTACAACTTTTGACTTAGCCTCAAAGAATTTCACTGAGTCTTATTCTCAGAGCAAAAACTCTTCAGATGACAGGGGAAAAGTGACTAAAAGTCTTACCCAACCATTCCAGAAAGCAAGCATTATACTCAAAAACATCCTAACTGACTTCGAAAGCAAAGAAAAACATCGAGTTTTGAAGATTTCATCTTGTCTTGGTAAAAAGTCTCCTCTGTCAGTTGATTATAATCAGGACGTACCAAGAAACCATAATATATCCTCTTCTGGTACAGTTTTGGATGAACAAGTAACAGTAGGACATACAATACAGGACCAGAATTCTAAACTTCTTGAGCCACAGAGGAAAAACTTAGATGATCCCACAACTGACTGTTCTCATAAGATAATTTCTTCAGAGGAGGAACAAGCTATGGATCTAACCAAGAGCCACACTGTTGTAATCGGGTTTGGGCCTTCTGAAATACAAGAACAAAGTAAGACTAACTTAGAACATAGAAACAGCCATCTCACAACAATAAACAGACAAATAGATGTGAGCATTCCTATAGAAAAAACTGTAGTAACAACTAATGAGATGGACATGTTAAAGGACAGAAGTATACAGAAGCCTGAATTTCTGAAGGAAAAGCAAAATGTCGAAATTTGCGAAAGAAAAAGTGCTCATGGACTACAAATTGATAAAACCATTTTATTTTCAGAGGGTAATGAGAATGATATGGATGTCACCAAGAGTTACACGGTGAAAATAAACCATAGATCTTTATTAGATAAACATGATTCTCCTTTACCTATGACAGGAACTTCTAAAACCATTTTGTATGCATGTGGACAGGATGAAATGGAAATCACTAGGAGTCACACAACTGCTTTAGAATGTAAAATTATTTCACCAGATGAAATAACTCCTAGCCATCCAGATAATGCTGTGATGTCTATTGAAGGTCACGAGGAACTAGAAATGACAAAGTCCCATACTGTTTTCATTGACTATCAAGCAGAGGCGAACAGTGCCCTTCCAGACAGATTTGACTTTGAGTTATCCAAGAAAAAATGCCTACAGAAGCCAAAAGGGATGTCTACTACTGCTGAAAAGACTATATCCATTTCAAAAAATAGTGAAAGCAACCATCTAGCATCAAAAGGTAGCCAACTAACAATACTGGAGGAAGGGTCTAATAGTGGGCCTAGAAAAGATACTAATGATGATTCTGAGACATCTAAATTAGCCACTTGGAAAAATGCCAAAGATAAACAAAAACCTGGATTTCTGAATGAACTTCTGCCAAACAAAACTCAGAGAAGAAAAAGCCTTAGGCTCCAAAACAACAAGACGTTTCCAGAGAATGCTAAAAATAATAGAGATATCACTCAGAGTTCTGTGGTTGAAATAAGTAATAAAATTAACTTGGAAGATGGAGAGGACTTCAGTTTTGTGCCATTAACAGGAACTTTTAAACCAGTTTTGTCTGCACACACGCCAAAGGACATGGAAATCTCTAGAAGTCAAACCACTGCTTTAGAAAATAAAACTGACCCAGCAGAGGAAATAACTACCATACCTGTGGATAACACTGTAATGTTTCTAGATAATTTTGGTGATCTGGATGTCACCAAGTCCCATACTGTTTTCATCGATTGTCAAGTCAAAGAGAAAGTACTTCATGAATATACTAAGCTTGGAATGGCAAGAACAGAAAACTGTAGTGGTCCTGAAAGTGATACCTGTATTCAAGAAGCATCAAACTCTATAGTTTCATCTAATGTTTCATGCTTTAGTAGTGTTAAGCCAAGTCTGAGTAATTTGAATGGAAAAACTGAGGATGTTTTAGACTTTCAGACTGTTCATATATTACCTCCTACAGAACAGTCACTTGAAATAGGAAACCAGGCACATAATATGAGTATAGCACAAACTACAGAAATGTGTAATCCAGGTTCCAGTGGTGGTAGAGATGAAGAAAATGAAGATCTTCATATGGGAGCTGAAACTACCTCTCTACCACTAACGGCCATTGTCAAAGACAAAACAAGAAGATGTTCATTGGGAATCTTTTTGCCCAAATTTCCAAACAAGAAAAATTGCGGTATCACTGTTGTTGATGACCTGGAGCAGATTCCAGCAGGTGGAACTGACTTAAATCACTTAGAAACTCAGCTAGTCTCTAGTAAAGATTCAGACATTGGAGCTGATGCAGTCAAACTGAACTTGAGTCCATCTCAGTATATAAATGAGGAAAATCTCCCTATATATCCTGATGAGATTCTTTCCTTAGACTCTATCAGCACAGATACCGAAGAAAAGGCTCTGATTGACACATACTATAAAGAGATTTTACCATCTGAATGCAAAATAGAAATTTGCAATGCCCCAAAAAGAACCCGGGTACAAGAAGATGATAATGTTATGAATGAGAAAAAAATCAAAACACATGATAGTATACAAAATCAGGAGGTAAGTTGTTCGAAATCAAAAGTGTTTTTGAATCTTGTATTTTTGCTTTTGAGATAGATGTTCTAGAACCCTGCTGCTGTAACTTTCTAAGTGTCAGGATTACAGGTATATACTACTATACTCAGCTGTATTTGTATTTTAAAACTTAAGATGCTCTTGAATTTTAAATTTCTAAGCAAGTGGAAACTATTTCTACTTACTATAGATTAGAGAAATATTTCTGTATAGAATTTTCAGGGGTCAATTGGTAAGAGACTTTTAAGATAATGAAGTAGTAGCCTATCTCTGTAATCCCATCACTCTGAAGGCTGAGGCAGAGAATTGCTGTGGCAAATACCCACAAAAATGCAATTAAAAATTTTATAAATAGGGGGCTGGAGAGATGGCTCAGCGGTTAAGAGCACTGACTCTTCTTCCAGAGGTCCTGAGTTCAATTCCCAGCAACCACATGGTGACTCACAACCATCTGTAATGAGATCTGGTGCCCTCTTCAGGGGTGCAGGTACACGTGCAGGCAGAATATTGCATTCATAATAAATAAATAAATCTTTTTTTTAAATATTTATTTATTATGTATACAATATTCTGTCTGTGTATCTGCCTGCAGGCCAGAAGAGGGCACCAGACCCCATTACAGATGGTTGTGAGCCACCAAGTGGTTGCTGGGAATTGAACTCCGGACCTCTGGAAGAGCAGGCAGTGCTCTTAACCACTGAGCCATCTCTCCAGCCCTAAATAAATCTTCTTAAAAAATTTTTTTTTTTATAAATAAACCTGGCATTGGTAGTGCATGCCTTTAATCACAGTGTTCATGGGGCAGAGGCAGGTGGATCCAGAACACAGAGAACACTGTCTCAAAAAGAAAAAAAAAAGTTGTACAAATATTATCCAGAGTTAGAACTGTGTCTTGACTTTTTGAGACATCTTACGTTAATCCCAAGAATAGCCTCAGAGTCCCAGTCCTCTTGCTTCTACCTCCCAAGTCCTGAAATTATAGATGTTCAAGTTTGTGCTCTATAATACTGCATCGAACTTGTACAACTCTAATTATTCAGTCACTTTTGCTGGTGATTCCTCAGTTTTGTGTATAAGAATCTCTTCAGGGATTATATATAATTGGAAAATTCTGTGTGTGTGTGTGTGTGTGTGTGTGTGTGTGTGTGTGTGTGTGTGTGTTTACATATGCACTCAATGCGATGAGGCACAGTTGGTTCTCTCCTACCTTGGGATCAAGTTCTAGGGATCAAGTTCAAGTCATGGTAAGTGCTTTCATTACTTACTGAGTTATCTAACACATTTTCCCTCCCTCCCATTTTGGTTTTTCAAGACAGGGTTTCTCTGTGTTAACAGCACTGGCAGACTTGGAACTCAGTTACTCTGTAGACCAGGCTGGTCTTGATTTCACAGAGATTCACCTGTCTCTATCTCCTGAGAGCTGGTATTAAAGGCATGCACTACCCACCATTCCAGGCTCATCATGCACATTTACTTTCTTTGGAGCCATCACTGCCCAGTGAAAGATAAACTTATAAAGAATCTTAAAGGAATCATAAATGTAAATTTTCATATATGAAAAGGAATTAGTCGACTCTACTTTAAATCTTTAGGGTGCATACCCACTCATCAATAGATTTTATATCAGAAGACTGAGGGCAGAAATGGGTATAAGAAATTAATCATCACCTTTGGTCATCCTAGCAAGAAAGGCATGCCAACTAATGAAAATTGTGCTGCTTTGTTCTTGTTCCCTGACCTTAAAGAGTTTCACACTCAACTATGTGCCTTTCTAAAACTTTAGATTCTTCTTGGGTTTTTTAGCTCTGTGCTATTTGACAAAATACCTTAGTCTAACTTTTAAGTTATTTTCAAAGCTTTGTTTCAGCTATGATGCACTCTGAAACCTGTGAACACATCTCCCAAAATGAAGATTAAAAGAGTTTAAACTAGCTGGGCTACTAGGACTCGGTTGTTTTTCTTAATCATTAACCTAAGGCCCAGTTTATATGGCTTCTCAATAGAAACTCTTGTGTTCTTTGTGACACTTCCTTATTTACATTTTTAAATATCAAAATTCTATTTAAACTAACATTATTATTATCAATCTAACAGTACAGCTTAGGAAGAAATCATCCTAATAATAATCCACCCCTAAAAATCTACAGTAGGATGGGATGTTTCCACAGGGTAAACAACTACATTACAGGCAGTGGTGATCTCCCCACTTCCATTCACACCATGCTAGATACTTGAGAAATATGATAGCAGCAAACATGTAAGGTTCTAATTTCCTTTTCTGATGTAGCTTACATATTGGTGGCTAGCAGCAAAATAATTGAAAATTTTAACATTAAAGACCTAAATTGTCTGATAACTTTAATAAGTTATTGTATATGAATTATATAGATAATTTTTTATAAATAGTATTTTTGTTGGTGTTCAACATTTAGTCTCTGTAAATACCAAGCTCATAACATTATGCTGATGTTTTGAAGTATGTAATTACAATGTAGTGTACACATGAACATACACTTGTGCAAATGTATAATGTAGAAGGAGAAACCTGCAACAGCATGCATGTGGCTATCATGGGACAATTTATGGAATCAGTTATCTTCTTTTACATTGTTTCTGGGAATAGAACTAGGGTTACTAGGCTTATATAGCAAGTGCCTTTACTGACTAAGCTATTTTACTTGCCCCTATGCTGATGTTTCTTTGATAATTTCAGATTTTTGATCATCATACTGAAGGGGATATCAATAAAAATGTCAACAGTGTATTGATAAAAAGCCTGAGCAGGACCCCGTCTAGTTGCAGCAGTGATCAGGATTCAATCAAGGCTGACGGAATCTCTCTGGACATCAGTAGTAAGACCTCTATTTATTTATTTATTTATTTATTTATTTATTTATTTATTTATTTATTTATTTATTTAAATATTTATTCATTATGTATACAGTGTTCTGTCTGTATGTCTGCCTGCAGGCCAGAAGAGGGCACCAGATGGGTGGTTGTGAGCCACATATGGTTACTGGAAATTGAACTCAGGACCTCTGGAAGAGCATCCGCTGAGCCAATCTCTCCAGCCCCAATTTTTTTTTTCAAGAAAGGTTTCCACGTGTAACTCTGGCTGTTCTGGTTCTCACTATGTAGACCAGGATGGCCTTGAACTTAGATCCTTCTGCCTTTTTCTCCTGCGGGCTGAGATTAAAGCAGCCACCAGCACCAGGCTAGCAGTAAAATCTTTATGAAGGCTAAATAATAACAGTTTGTTGAATCCTTGATTGATAAGTACATTTCAGTATAGGAAATATTTTAATGCTATATAAACCCTCTCAGGTATAGAGTTGATAAGTAAAGTAATATTTCACTTACATTTGATTTTTAAAAATTTAATGAAATGACAAATGTTATATTACAGAGGAATAGTTCATTTCCTCCAAAAGCTTCTTATTAGTGGAGAAACACTGAAGGAAGCTGTAAAACTATTACAGATACTTTGTCTTACTAAGTGATAGCTTTTTAGAAACATCCTAGTAGATAGAAGCATCAGGATCATGAACAGCACATAAAGCTGAAATCTTAGTTAGGGTTTCTATTGCTGTGAAAAGAGTTCATGACCATCCTTATAAAGGTTAATATTAAATTGGGATGGCTTACAGTTTCAGCGGTTTAGTCCATTATCATCATGGCAGGACATGGTGGTATTGTAAGCCAACTTAGTGCTGGAGAAGGAGCTAAGAGTCCCACAACACTGGATGGTGGTGGTGTACTTCAGTACTTGGGAGGCAAAGGAAGGCATATCTGTGTGAGTTCGAGGTCAGCCTGGTCTACAAGAGCTAGTTCCAGGACAGCTAGTTCTCCAAAGCTACACAGAGAAACCCTGTCTCAAAAAATTAAAAAAAAAGGGGGGGGGGTGCTGGAGAGATGGTCAGAGGTTAAGAGCACTGGCTGCACTTACATACAGAGGTCCTGAGTTCATTTCTCAGCAACCACATGGTAGCTCATAACCATCTATAATGAGATCTGGTGCCCTCTTCTGGTGCGTGTGCAGGCATGCAGGCTAAATATATATATATATATTTTTTTTTTTTTTTAAAAAGTCCTACATCTTGGTCCGCAGGCAACAGAAAGTAAGTTGTCATGATGGATGTGGCTATAGGAGACCTCAAAGCTCACTTCACAATGACACACTTCCTGCTAATAGTGCCACTTCCTATGGGCCAAGCATTCAAACACATGAGTCTATGGGAGCCATACCTGTTCAATCTACCACAATAACTAAAATTAACTTTACATTTTAGTTTTGGTTTGTTTTTGGAATAAGGTCTCACTATGTAGCTTTGACTGCCTACCGTTGGCTATGTAGACCAGGTTGGTCTTAAACTCACAGAGATCTACCTGCTTCTGCCTATCTAGTGTTGGGATTGAAGGTGTATACCACTATTATAAGCCTTATAGTTTCATTTTGACTTGTTTATTATGTAAATTTTGCTTTGCTTCTAGCACAACGCAATAGCCAAATGGAATCACAGTTCCTTGGTGACAGTATCTGTGAAGATAGTTTGAGGGAGGTATGTTAAAGCATTTCTCACTTTAATTATTTTAATTAAGTGTATGTGTATGAGTGTATGTATGTCACAGCCTGAGGACAACTTGCAGAAATTTCTTTCTCTATCATGTAGATGTTAGGCATTGAACTTAAGTTGTTAGGCTTAGTGCTGAGTAGTACCCTTACCTACTGAGCCATCCCATAGGCCACTGCTTCTCACTGTGGTTTTTGTTTTGTTTCTTTATGTTTAAACAGGGTCTTATTATATAGCCCTTGCTGACTTGGAACTTACTATATAGACCAGGCTGGCACCAAACTCCCTGAGATTGGTGTCTGCTTCCAAAGAGCTAGGATTAAAGGCATGAGCTTATTTTTCACATTTTGCTTTTTTGTTTGTTTTGTTTTTGTTTTTTAAAGTAGAGTTTCTCTGCTTGGCCTTGGCTGTCTGAGAATTAGCTTTGTAGACCAGAGATCTCTTAACTCTCAGAGATCTGCCTGAAAGACATGCGCCACCTCCCAGCTATTTCTCACTTTTAATACTTTTTTTTTTTAAAGAGTTTATTGATGTTTTCTGGTTATTTGGGTTTTTTGTTTGTTTGTTTTGTTTTTCAAGACAGGGTTTCACTGTACCTTTAGAGCCTGTCCTTGAACTCACCAGTCTCTGGTGGATCCAGTGCTGGTATTAAAGGTGTTTGTGACCACTGCCTGACTAAGTTTATTGTTTTTTTGAGATAGAATGTGAGGCCTTCAAGGCTACCCTTAAACTCAGTGCTTAACCAGTGCTGGCCTTGAACTCCTGATCTTCGCGTTTGCACCAGCTCAAGTGCTAGAATTACAGATGAATGCCACCACTCCTGGCTTAGTTGTTTTTTTTTTTTTTTAAAGATTTTATTTATTCATTATGTATACAATATTCTATCTATATGTCTGCCTGCATGCCAGAAGAGGGCACCAAATCTTAGTTAGGATGGTTGTGAGCCACCATATGGTTGTTGGGAATTGAATGCAGGACCTCTAGAAAAGCAGCCAGTGCTCTTAACCACTGAGCCGACTCTCCAGCTCCCTTGTTTTGTTTTTGAGGTAGCGCTTATGCATCTTTAGCTGGGCTCAAACTTGATAGGTATCCAAAAGTGACCTTAAATTTTTGATACTCTTATGTCTACCTCCAGAGTGTTAGTAAGTTTTACAGATATGGGCCACATGCTCAATTTTATGTGGTACTGGGAATCCAGTTCAGAGCGCTAGGCAAATAAATGTTCTACTAACCTTGTTCATCCCCAGTCCTAGAATTTGTTTTTTGTAATTTTATGTATTTCAAATATAGGAAATGCTAGTTTTCTTTCTTATTTTAAAAAATAATTTATTTGCATTTTATATGCTTTGTTGTTTTGCCAGCATGTATTTCTGTGTGAGGCTGTCTGATCCCCTGGAATAGGATTTACAGTCATGAGCTGCCGTGTGATTACTGGGAATTTAACTCTGGCCCTCTAGAATAGCAGCCAGTGCTCTTAAACCTTGAGCCATATCTCCAAGGCTGGTTTTCCTTGTTAAGGATTCAGCATAGTAATTATATGAAGTATTATCTTAGCCTGTTGTCTTTTGCTAAGATTGAAAGCCGCAAATTGGGTTGGTTATACAGACCAGATTGCAGTTCTTTATGCTTTGCCAAGCATTGCACTGCCACAAGTTCAGTATGTGATAATGCTTCCAGGCTGGAGGAATTCTGCAGAATCTCCAGTTGACTCAGTGTCTCATGGCAATAGAGCAAGCTTACCAAGTTGAGTCCATTTTCCTCTTAGGAAGCCATTTATGTAATCCTTCTGGCCCTAACATTATGACCCCATCCAATTATCTACCACCACATACTATTAACATATGACCTTGGGAACTAATGTGAGTTTTAGAGGCATCATTCACCTTAACCTTAGTAAGTAGAAATTAATATTAAAAGACAAATTGAGTTTTGAAAATTATGTAACCTTAAAAATGTTAGATTGGCTATGGTGGTCCACATTCCACATTTTTTATTCTAGCACTAGAGAGACTAGGATTCCATGCCATACTGGGCTGCATAGCAAACTTGAGCTACAGTGGGACACCTTGTTTAATAATAATAGCAGTAGTAATCTTATATAAAAATTAAGAAAAGTTTACTAATGTTTATGTTTGGCTAGTTCCTTAACTTAGATTAAGCTCTTTAGAAATGAGTGGTATAGTTAGAGTCAAAGTGAGTTTACTTTGAGTATTCATATATCATATAAATGTTTTTTTTTTTGTTGTTTTTTCTTTTTTCAGAAACTCAAGAATGGACAAATTACAATAAAGGAGTTCTTCGTACTTCTTCAGGTCCACATCTTAATACAGAAACCCAGGCAGAGCCATCTTCCAGCCAAAGTAAGTGCATTTCTTGGCAAAATATTCATCTCAGTTAAAATATATCGTACTTAAAAAATTTAAATTACACAAGAGAAAGCATTTATTAAAACACAAAACTATGAGTTGGAGATATAGTTCATTTGGTAGAGGCCTGCCTATCTGCTTGACTCCCTGACTGCCAAGTCTAACAACTTGACTTTGTATAACCTGGTGATGCTTCCTTTCCTCACATTGAGGAACCTGTTCTAATACCAGATGTAGCTGTTCTAAATTATAAATCTAACTGGTCTTCACCTCCATCAAAGAGCTCAAAAGGATGTAATATTACCTAACAACAGACACATCTAGCTGCCTAGACAATTCTCTGCAATGTTGGGCCATCCATCTTTTGCTTATAGGCCTAGAATATCTGGAAGACTCTTCTGTGAAGCAGAATCTTGAAGGACTGTCTTGATTTGTTTTGGCAATGTTCAACAGTCTTTTTCCTGTGTCTCACTTGTTCAATTTGTTCAGCATACTGTCAGCAGTGAAGGAAGAGCAGTTTCTTGTCCAGATGCCTACCCTTGCAACATTGAAAGCAAATTCTATATGGAGTTTCTTTTTTTAAGATTTATTTATTTATTATACATGCAGTGTTATTTATGCCTACATGCCAGAAAATAGCCCCAGATCTTATTATAGATGGTTGTGGGCCACCATGTGGTTGTTAGAAATGAACTCAAGCCCTCTGGGAGAGCAGCCAAAGCCATCTCTCCAACCCCCTAACCTCATTTCTTTTTTTTCTTTTTTTAAAAATAATTTAATTTATTTATTTATTATGTATACGGTGTTCTGCCTGCATGTATCCTTGAAGGCCAGAAGAGGGCACCAAGTCCTATTACAAATGGTTGTGAGCACATGTGGTTGCTGGGAATTGAACTCAGGACCTTTGGAAGAACAAGCAAAGCTCTTTTTTTTTTTTTAGATTTATTTATTTATTATGTATACAACATATGCCTTGATGTATGCCCGCACGCCAGAGGAGGGCGCCAGACTTCAGTACAGATGGTTGTGAGCTACCACGTGGTTGCTGGGAATTGAACTCAGGACCTCTGGAAGAGCAGCCAGTGCTCCTAACCTCTGAGCCATCTCTCCAGCCCACAAGCAAAGCTCTTAACCACTGAGCCATCTCTCCAGACCCTAACCTCATTTCTTAATTATTCATTGGATTTTTAAATGAGCTTCATAAGTACAATTTCTCAAACAAGAGTAGAAACATATATACACTCTTTAAAAAAAAAAAACTTTTAAATTTGTATCAATATACCAAAATTCATGCCAGTACAAAATATCTGAGATCAATAGTTTTCTTTTTATCCTGTACTCCTATATTCCCCTAAATGATAACATCCATAACCCCCAAATCACCAACAACCATCCCCACCACCTTTGGGAATGTAGGCATTACCTTCTCTGGATTGCTTCTTGTTTTCTGTGGGTGAATATATCTTTAGGGCTACCTGAGAAAACGGGAATAATTGCCAAATCCTATAACCTTGTTGATATATATCACCTGTCCTGTCAAGATTCAGGAGGTTTGCCCCAATCAAACCTGATCATATTAACTTGGAATGAGTCCATGGCCTTTTGCTTCCTGGGAAAACAAAAGCATAACCTCTTTTCCAATGTGATATATATTTTACTTCTCTTTTAAAATTAAGATCTCCCTAAAGTACCCAGGTTGGCTCAAGTTAGCAGTCCTGTTCACAATCCCATGTCTTTCAACAGCTGTCATTCGCTCATCAGCATTTTAAAAATTTGAAATTAGCACAACATACAGGATCCAGACTCTGTGTTTATTTTCCCTCGTTATGTGGCTTATTCTTTTTTTATTGCTTCTTTCTTTAAAGACTTTATTATTTTTAAACTATTTACTTTTTTATGTATATGCCTTTTCTCTTTTTCTTCTTAAGCCTATACATATTTTTAATTCTAAGCACACTGTAACCTGTTTTTTTTCCCATCTAGATCTGTCTTTACTGCATATTTCTTAGCCTCTTTATCATGACCCTTTAAACTAAGTGGTGTGGCTAGGTCCTCTGTCTAGGCTTTGCTGGCTGGCTCCACCCACTTCCCCAATCTTTGATAGCCAAGTCTAAAGCTTGGGGCCCCATGCCATCACATGACAGTAAGTAATGAGGACAGCTCTCCCATGCTCACAACTTTGGGGCTGACTCACCTACACTTCCACCAACAGGATTGGGTGTATTGTGGTAAGCTCAATTTTTACATATTCATTTTCTTTCTTTTTTTAAATTGTGTTGATTTAGTCTGTGTGTGTGTGTGTGTGTACATAGATGTGAATCTGTAGAGGTCAGAGGACAATTTATTGAAGCCACTTTGCCACCTCAACTTTCTGAAAATAATGCATAATTATTTTTTTTAAGATTTATTTATTTATTTATTGTGTATATAGTATTCTTAGTATTTTGCATGTATGCCTGCAGGCCAGAAGAGGGCACCAAATCTTATTACAGATGGTTGTGAGCCACCATGTGGTTGCTGGGAACTGAACTCAGGACCTTTGGAAGAGCAAGCAGTGCTCTTAACCACTGAGCCATCTCTCCAGCCCCGCATAATTATTTTTAAGACACTTTGAGTCCTATAAGTCAGTATCCTTAGCTCACCTGAACATCTAGGAAAGAGTGGACTTTGAAGTTAGAGACTTGAATTCATATTTGAACATGTAACTTACTGTGTAAATAAATATCATCTATAAGTTTCTTTGTATAATTTTTCCTCCACAGTACTGGGGTTTGAACCCAGAACCTCAGACACCCTAACTGAGCTACACTCCCAGCCCTATTTGGATAACTTTTAAAAATTGGCACTGTAGTGGGTGGTAATAACGCACGCCTTTAATCCCAGTACTTGGGAGGCAGAGGCAGGTGGATCTCTGTGAGTTTGAGGCCAGCCTGGTCTACAGAGCAAGTTTCAGGAGAGCTAGGGCTACACAGAGGAACCCTGTCTTAAAAAAAAAAAAAAAAAAAAAAAAAAGAGACAAAGTCATTCTCAAACTTGAATTTGTTTCTTACGTGGTTTTGTCCTCAAAATGGTAAAATTTGGGAGGATCAGAAGTTCAGTGTACTCCTCAGCTACATAATGAGTTCTAGTCCAGCCTAGGCTATATGAGACCCTTCCCTCCATCTCTCCCCCGACCCCTGGCAAAAAAAGAAATGGAAAAGAACAAAAAACAACATCTGGTTCTGCCGGACATGGTATCTTAAGCAAGTAATCCAGATTCAAGAGACAAAGGCCAGAGGATTACAACTTCAGCCCACCCTAAACTACACTGTAAGGCTCTAAAGTCTATTTTCAAAGAAAAATGAACCAGTTCTTATTGATGGAACACTTTCTTTTCTTTCTTTCTTTTTTTTTCCCCAAAGTTTGCTATAAACTCATCACCTACCCCTGAAGATCTGATGTTGAGACAGTATGTTTATGGACCCAAGATACAGATTTACAGAGAAGATTGTGAGCTTCTTCGCCAAAAGATTGAAGAGTAAGAATGTTTTATTTTTTTTTTCCTGTGATTGGTTTTGGAGGGTTATAATAAACAAATGGTCTATGTGGTATTTTAATCATTTTAATTAGAGTAACATCAGCATGGGAAAAGTAGATGGAATTAATTGGCAGTATGACATGAATGAAAACCCAGTTCAGCCTACAATATTGTATAGCATTGCATAAGTCGTTTACCACCTTATAAAGTGGTAATAATATCTATACACTGCAAATACAATGAACAGTAGAAATTATTTATATAAAATGTTTCAGATTGCCGGGTGGTGGCAGCTCTAACCTTTAATCCCAGCACTCAGGAGTCAGAGACATGAGCATCTCTGTGAGTTCGGGGCCAGCCTGGTCTACAGAATGAGTTCCAGGAACAGCTCCAAAACTACAGGGAAACCCTGTCTTAAAAATCAAACAAAAAATAGTTTCATATCATGATGAACAAAAAGATAAGCAGAATTTATTTTTCCAAGACAGGGTTTTTCTGTGTAGCTGTGGCTGTCCTGGAACTCACTCCTAGGCTGGTCATGAACACAGATTTGCCTACCTCTGCCTCCCTAGTGCTAGGATTAAAGGTGTGTGCCACCTTAGAATTATTAAATTATGATATAAATTGTTTAAAACAACATTTCAAAAGGATATAGTGTACTTTTTTTTTTTTTTTTTTTTTTTTTTTTTGGTTTTTCGAGACAGGGTTTCTCTGTGGCTTTGGAGCCTGTCCTGGAACTAGCTCTGTAGACCAGGCTGGTCTCGAACTCACAGAGATCCACCTGCCTCTGCCTCCTGAGTGCTGGGATTAAAGGCGTGCGCCACTACCGCCCGGCGTATAGTGTACTTTTTTTTAGAGTACAGGGTTTCTCTGTAAAGCCCTGCTTATGCTAGAATTCGCTATGTAGACCAGGCTGGCCTGTAACTTGGAGATCTCCGTCTCTGCCTCCCAAGTGCTGGGTTTAAAGGCGTGAACTCGCAAACCCTGATGTACTTACTCTTTTGGGTTTTCTAAGTTGGGTGTTGTTGTACATGACTGTAGTGGGAGGCTTTTTTGTCCTGCCTGCTTCCGCAGCCGCTCTTAAAATAATCACTCGGAGGCTTTTATTAATTATAAATGTTTGACCAATGGCTCAGGCTTATTACTAAACTAGTTCTTACATTTAAATTAATCAATATTCCAACATAGTGGTAGGGTCGGGGCAAGCTTACAAAGCTTTAATTTTCAGAGAGGACAGGAGGCTCTAGGCAGGGATGTGAGTTGTGATGCTAGTTGGCAAGGTCTCTCTAAAGGATCCAGGCTAGCTGCTTCCTGAAAGAAAATTGATGCTGGGGAGTTGAAGTGAGCCTGAGCCACTTTAGGAAGCTGCTGCACTCTCTCTGGATGCTGAACTGTGAGTTTAGACCCTAAGCTTTAGTAGTCATGAAAAGAAGTGGTAGATCCAGAAGCTTACAGCTTTACAAGATAGCAGGCAGAGGAAAACCCTGTTGGGGTTTCAAGTCAGCCATTGATAAAAGTTTGGAAACTGATACTTTTTCCCATGGTGGGAGGTCTAGTGTTTGGAATCCCTGGCCTGATCTATCAGACTCAGGAATGCTGCACGTCTCTTGTCCTAGGTACTGCCTAGTCCTGGCCTAATACTCAAAATCAAGTCTTTGCCCATTCAAGAATTCAGTACCTCCCCCAACACTGCCTCCTCTGTCCCCTAAAGGTACCATGGCTTCTGGAGTCTTTCTTCCTGCCTGTCCATCTCCCCCACCAACCCTCACCCCTTCTTGACCTTTCTGCTTCTTTCCACACCCCAGGTTCATTGTGACACTCTTACCTGCTGTTCTTTAAATGTTGAATAATGTTTCCTGAGAGAATTCTCCCGTTTATGTAGGAAAAAATGAAAAGAATTAAATTTGGCTGTATGTTAAGTCAGCTGGTTAAAGCAGAATTCTACATCCTATATTCACATTTTTCTTTACAGCTGGTTAAAGCAGAATTCTACATCCTATATTCACATTTTTCTTTATTTTAGATTACAGGTATCTGCATTGACCCAAGATAAACTATTGACTGATGTAAATAGGAACTTGTGGGAAAAAATGAAAGACTGCTCTAATGAAGAGGTATTTTTATGTCATTTTCTGATTAAGAATTGACACACGTCAAGATAAGAAACTGTTATTTTTTTTTTTTTTTTTTTTTTTTTTTTTTTTTTTTTGAGAAACCCTGTCTTTAAAAGGAAGAAAGAAAAGAAGAACCGTTATTTGATGGGATGGAGTTCTTTCATTTAGTTTCAGATGTGATGTGCTGCTGTAGTCTTATCTAATTATTGCTAAGTAACTGTTAGATGCAACCTTTCCTATGTGTAATGCCTAATTTAATACTTAAAATATATATGATGTTCCCTCCTTTTTATTGGCATTTCCCATAGATTTAAGATATTCTTAATTGATTAGGTATTTATTAGTCTATTTTACATGTACACTAATATATAATACTGTTTTAATTAAGAGCTGATCACCAGGTTGTGGTGCACGCCTTTATTCCCAGCACTTGGGAGGCATTGGCCGCTGGATCTCTGTGAGTACGAGGTCAGCCTGATATACAGAATGAGTTACAGGACAGGCTCCAAAGCTACACAGAGAAACCCTGTGTTGAAAGGCAAACAACCAAAAAAATTAAGAGCCAGTTATATTCTAGTTTTCAAAACAAGTGAATTAAAGGCAACAATCAAAACTGAAGTCTTTAATTATATTCTTAAATAGATATGCAGAAGTTAGTTACCTGTGGTGGCCTAACCTGTAATCCCAGCACACTAGAGGCAAAGGCTGGAAGAACACATATTTAAGACCAACCTGGTCTTTACAGTGAGTTTCAGATCAGCCAGGGAATCAATTTGCAAATGAAAAGTTTTTGCTTTAGGAATCAGAACCTAGGACAGGCAATCTAATGTACCTTCCCAGACCTTACTTACCTTATCTGACTTGTGGGTTTTTTCTTTCTTTCTTTTCTTTTCTTTTCTTTTCTTTTCTTTTCTTCTTTTTTAGTATAATGTGCTCTTTAACTCTCTCCTACAGCTGAAAACCTATGGGATTTACCTTAACAAAATAAAGTCACGTTATACCAAGATGACAAAAGTCTTCACTCACCAAGGAAAAGTGGCTCTGTATAACAAATTGGTGCATTCAGCTGAGGTAATTTGTGATAGTTAATATATAACAAATTATTAGTAGCTGTAAAATATGAAGAATGAGCTGGCCGGTGGTGGTGCATGCCTTTAATCACAGCACATGGGAGGCAGAGGCAGGCAGATCTCTGTGAGTTCGAGTCTTGCCTGGTTTACAAGAGCTAGTTCCAGGACAGGCTCTAAAGCTACAGAGAAACCCTGTATCAGTAAAAAAGAAATAAAAATATGAAGAATGCTTATTAGGAGACATATAAATGAGAGTTGGATAAAATCTTGTTTATCAAAAGTGAAATTCTATTAATCAAAACCTTCAACCTTGGCATTGTAAGTCAAATGAAATATAGTCACTAATATGGGCTATGTCTCATATTGTTGTCTTCCATATTACATTTTGAAATAAACTATTTGTCATTTTGTCTCTCCTCTAATACATACAACAGTGTTGTCTTCCTATACTCTAGTCAGTTGCATGTGTATGTACACATGTTCATTCTTTTCCTTTTAAAAAGGCTTTTTATAGGACTGAGAATATAATTCAGTGGTAGAACGTTTGCTTAGCATTTGTTCAATTTCCTGTTTGAGAAACAGAAGCAGTGTACTTAAGCAATGTACACAAGAGCAAGCCAGCAAGGTAGCTCTACTTAATAAAATACCTCATTAGCAAATAAGTGTAGAAATGTCGCATACAGTATTTTCTTTTTTATTTTTATGTAAATAGGAGTTTTGCCGTGGGTGTTGGGTCCCCTGGAACTGTAATTATAGACATTTGTGAACTGCCATGTGGGTGCTGGGAATTGAACCTGGGTCCTGTGGAGAGCAGTCAGTGCCCTTAACCACTGAGCCATGTCTCCAGCCCCCACTATCTTCTTTTACAGAAATAAAGATTTAAAAATAGTTGTCCCTGGTGCACATACCTACAGGAAGTTGAGACAGGAATATTGCCATAATTTCAGTACCACATAGCAAGAACCTGTCTCAGCAATGGTAAAACAAACAAACAATAAAAAAAGCACACTAAAAAGACAATAATTGTATTTGACCAATGTGTTCCATATTTATTTAATCTATTTAAAACCTTTTTAAACAATAAATATTAATAAAGTCATAAGACACATATAGAAAAATGCTACAATGAAGAGAAATATAGAATTTATTTATCTATTAAAATTAAACTAAAAAAATTTAAGTCCAGACTAAATGTCTTGACTTTAATTTTAAGATTTGCCTGTTGATGCTAGTGTGAAAAACAGACCTATAATCCCATCTACTTGAAAGTCTAAGGCAGAGATATCCCAAGTCCAAGGCCAGCCTGGGCAACTTAGCAAGACCCTGTATATATGTAAAAAGTGAAAAAAATGTATAGGAATAAAGAGCAGCAGTAGGATCATGTGACCAGCATGTTCTGTTCCTGTATTGCCAAAAAAATAAAAATAAAAATAAACTTTGCCATTCATAATCATGACATTAATTGAACTATTATAAAGTTTGGAAGTTAAACTTTTATAATCTTTAATGTTTTGTATTTAGAATGAAAAGAAGAAACTTCAGATAAAAATGAATGAGATTGACAACATACTTAAGAAGCTCAATAACTGTCTCACTGAAGTAGAAATAGGTAAGTATTTAATGTTTTCCTAGGCCTGGGGATAGAACTTAGTGGTACAATACTTGCCTGTCATACAGAAGGCCCTAGGTGTAACCCCTGAAACTACATAAAGTTAAAGGATAATTTTCTGTAAATGCTTCTATAAGGTATAAAATTTGGTATTACTATGATAGTTTAGCAGCTTCAGTTCTTAAATAGAAGCAAATTAAAACCCATTTTTGGGCTAATGAGATGGCTCGGTGCATAAATGTGCTTACCACCAAGCCTGTTGACCTGAGTTTGGTCTCCGGGGACCCACGTGGTAGAAGAAGAGAACCGATTCTCACAAATTTTCCTCTGACCTCCATAAGCATGCTATAGTGCACCCCCACCCCCACGCAAAATAAAGGTGATACAAAATAATAATAAAACCTCACTTAGGCTGGGCGGTGGTGGCGCACGCCTTTAATCTCAGCACTCAGGAGGCAGAGGCAGGTGGATCTCTGTGAGTTCGAGGCCAGCCTGGTCTATAAGAGCTAGTTCTAGGACAGGCTCCAAAACTACAGAGAAACCCTGTCTCGAAAAACCAAAACAAAAAACAAAAAAAACAAAAAACAAAAAAAAAAAACTTAGTACAATTAATCATCTGTAACACAGTAAAGAAGAGATGCCCAAGAAATTAAGTCATTTTTCAAAGCTCTTCATAACATATGATAATCTTGTCTGTTTTGGCTTATTTTTGAGACAGTCTTTCTGTGTTGCCCAAGCTGGCCTAGAATTTGCCTAAGCTACTCTTAACTTGTGATCCTCCTTTCTTGCCTCCTGAGTGCTGGTGTTACAAGTGAGTGCCTCTGTGCCCAGTATTCAGGGGGTTTTGTTTTCTAATCACACTTGTTTGTTTGTTTCTTAGTGTGTATAATTTTGAGATTCTTAATTTTTTTGAGATTTATATATTATTTTATTTTAAGTGTATGGGTGTTTTGCCTGCTTGTGTACGGTATGCATACAGTGCCCATGGAGGCCAGAAGAGGGTGTTAGATCCTCTGGGACTGGAGTTACAGGTGGTTGTGAGCTGTAGTGTTGGTGTTAGGAATTACAAGTCCTACCACCCCCCTGGTCCTCTGGAAGAGAGGTCATTATTCTCAACTGCTGAGCCGCTTTTCCAGCCCTCATCACACTTTGGTGTGTGTTAGTAGGTGCATGTGCCGTAGACAACATGTGGAGGTCTGAAGGATGTGTGTACCGGGGAAGACATGTGATGCCATGAAAGGATGTTAGATTCCCTGAACTAGAGCTATAGGCAGTCACAAACCAGCTGCCCTAGGTGCCAATGGGTTAGTTTGACTAAGAGAGGACAACACAGGAGCTAAAAGGAAAACCTGGGAATGAAGAATAGAATTAGAGTCAGGTGGTGTAATGTCTCAGAGGTTAAGTAAGATAAATGTTCTTTGTTCGTTTGTTTTTGGATTTTTTTGAGGCAGGATTTCTCTGTAGCCTTGGAGCCCATCCTGGAACTAGCTCTTGTAGACCAGTCTAGCCTCGAACTCACAGAGATCTGCCTGCCTCTGCCTCCCAAGTGCTGGGATTAAAGGCATGCACCACTACTACCTGAGTAAGATAAATGTTTTAGGGAAAAAAAATTAGCAATGTCAAACAAAGAAACTGGAATTAAAGCTACGTATGGCATCCACAGGCACATGCATATCCACATAGGCAATTGCACAAATGTGCACACCTGTTTCTACACACACATACACAGACATACACACAAAATAAGAATAAATCTTAAAAAAAAAAAACCTGTAAGTTCCATGGAGCCAAAATTAGCATGTTTTTCTCCATCTACTTTAAGTCCCTAGCATATGGATTGCACAGTAAAAGTGTCTAATACATGTGACCTGTATTTAGGTGAAAATGAGTATATGAATATCATAGTTTTAAAATAACTTACCTCTGTTTAGTTACTTTACTCTCTACTTCACAATAAAAGTTAGAAGCTGGGCGGTGGTGGCGCACGCCTTTAATCCCAGCACTTGGGAGGCAGAGGCAGGCGGATCTCTGTGAGTTCGAGACCAGCCTGGTCTACAAGAGCTAGTTCCAGGACAGGCTCCAAAACCACAGAGAAACCCTGTCTCAAAAAAA